CAGACGACATCGTTCTTGGGGAAGTAGATTGACAGCATCCAGTAGCTGTGACTTGACCACATAGCCACAATCTTCCAGCTCTTCTTGGAGCAACTGATATGTCTTTCCTTGATTGTGCAAATACAATCCTCGGACATTTTCCAACAGGAATGCCTTGGGTTGTTTGTCTTGCAAGATACGAACAATTTCTCGAAACAATTGTCCCCTGGGATCTTGCAGGCCCCGTTGCTTGCCACTGCTGGAAAATGGCTGACAGGGAAAGCCACCCACCAACAGATCATGAGAGGGAATCCAATCCGATTGGATGCGTGTAATGTCTCCAGCAGGTCGATCTCCGCCAAAATTGACTTGGTAATTGGCAATGCAGAAGCGATCCAGTTCGCTGGCAAACACACAGCGACCACCCAATCGATCCAGTGCCACCCGAAAGCCTCCCATGCCGGCAAACAATTCGATGTAGGTAAACAACGAAGCGACATTCCCCTTCTTGCTGTTGGATTGGAAGTGTCCACGATCCACAGGAGCAGGTGGCTTGTCGGGACAGCCACCCACTGAGTGACCTGGACGACCACAGTGTTGACACGTCGCTGACGGACAATCCTTGGCGCGGTGATCGGAAGCACCACATTGATAGCATCTGTTCCTTTTTCGTTTCTCTTCTTCTGCCTCATCTCTTCGTCGTCATGGCTCGGATCTGCCATTGCCACATTCCATACAACAGGAGTAGACTATGGCAGCTTCAGTGTATTCGATCTTCTAGAGCTATTGTATCTCCTTCGGGAGTGCCTGGTACCAGAGACAACAATTCGGCGGTCGCGCTTGCCTCGTTGCTCATCATTGCCTCACCCACTCGACCATGTAACTCCTTGAAACTGTGAGTGCAAACGGTTTACGTGTCCTAAATTGGCTTTAATGCTTCAAGAAAGGAAACTGGCACTTTTACTTGTCGAAATGTCGTAATGGTCATAATATGTGTGGTACTCTTACTTTAATGCCGAAGCTGTATTGAAGAACCTCAAGGATTTAACAATTACACTCAACTTAATCTCACAAATTGCAAAATCGATTCGATTCCCACACTTCACTCTCCCACGACACACGACATCGCTTCTGCATTTCTAGCTGAATCGGATACCGGTACCCCAAGTCTTGGGCTCAACAATGCCTGTCGAACAGATTACCCTTAAAAGGCAACGATGCTCACCAAGACCACATTTGGCAGAATCGAAACGGGCAACCATGAATCACTAAAGCCGTAACAGGGTCCAGCGGGGGTCCAGCGGGGTCCAGCGTCCAAGGACAATCCACTCTGTGCTACGTATTCAAGTTGTAAGGAAGAAGGACAGTTCCTTGTGTTGATTGGAATCGAATCCAATCAATCAATCAAGAGGACCAATGAACGAAGCCTCCTGCATTTATGTTAGAAGGAAGGATGAACACTTCCAACAACATGCCAACAGATTCGGGAAAATGTAGAGTCGATGACGGGCATCAATGTGGTGTTCCGTCCACTTTGTTTTGGCGACCCGGAGATGGCACTTTTGGAAGCTGCGCTCAGTGCCAATGTCACTATCAAATTTATTGCCTTGGTATTGGCGGTAGAGCTGCGACCTGGTGAAGCCCAAACATTGGGAAACATCCTTCGGACCCACACCACCGTGGAGACGCTGATCGTTCGCGGCGCGCCCAACGACCAACTGCAAAGGTTGTGGTCGGGGGTGTTTTCAAACACTACATCTCTGAAGACTATCAATTTGCATGGGCTATCGGCTAGTGCTGTCTCGACTTTGGCACATGCTCGAACAGATCATTCATCATTGATCACCAATTTCGGTTTTGTCGAGTGTACATTTTCCGCGGAAGCTGTGGAGGATCTCCTCACCACTCAATTCAATCCACCATTTCAACGCAATGGGAAAAGTCACAGGTTGATAGTCCATGAGTGTATTTTTGAAACTGTGGAAGAAAAACGACGCTTTGCCAGAGCTCTCGCCAGAACGACTTCTTGGCAGTCTTTTGTGTTTGAGGATGAGAAAAGGCTCGACAAAGAAACTGCTGCCATGTTTGCACAGGCTATAGCTGCAAACCATGCACTTGAAGAGGTGGGATTTATTGTTTGGGAGATGAGAGTTGCAGAATCATGAAAATGCCATTGAGGAGGAAGACTACTTAAGATGGGTGCGCGAGGGGCTGGTTTGAGTAGAACCACGAAGGAGGATTTGAGCAGGAGTGTGAGAAAAGGGTTGGCCACTCCATTTCCATGAACCGGGCAGGGCGCCTCTATTTGCAGGAGTCTATTCAACGACCTGGTGATGCAAGTCTGGAAGAGTTCTGGTTGTCCTCATTGTCAAAGAACATCAATAAACACCCTCTTGTTTATTCTTGGATTCGAAACTATCCCGACATTTTTGTTCGGGTGGCTTTCAGTGGTGAGGAGGACAAGGAGGATATGAGTTGCAAGTTGTTGCTAAGAAGAAGCCCAAAACCATGGGATGAAGAAGGAAGGCTGCCAAGGAAGCACATAGGACGTGATCAATTTGAGAGGTGGATCGGGGCTGCGATGGTCACAGCGATATCAAGCAATGAAAAAACGCGGAAGATACCGGTAGGCGTACAACTACGGGTCTAGTGAAGCGACTGTTTACTTTTTAATGGTCCCAGCTATATATTTTGTGTTTTATTGAAGCTGTACTACACCGCTGCCGTGACCGAGCTAGTTAACAGAGCGCTCGATTTTCGCCAAGGCAGCTCCGTCGGAATTCAAACCAGGGATGCTTCAGGGCTTTTGCTGCAGTCGCTCGTTTGTCCATGTTCATCTGAAGCAAGTATCGGGTGAGGAAGTCATGAATGATGAACTCTTCGTCTTCTTCAATGTCGTAGAACAGTTGAATCTCCTCCAGGCAGAGATGGAGCCCCTGCTCGAACTTTTGAACATCTTGATTGTAGTTGTCGTAACTCTCCATCCACAACCGAGGATAGCCAAAGCTGATCTCTAGCAAAAGACAGCCCACAGACCACATGTCTGCTGTTCGACCCTCGAAACCACCGCGCAAGATCATCTCTGGAGCAAAGAAGCCCGGTGTACCACAGAGCTGATCAATCACCAGGACATCATGCTTTGCGTCGAGACCGTCGTCGCTACGGTTTTCAATGACCTCGACAGAGTTGTCGTCGCATATGGTTGTCGTGTCCGTGCCATTGTAGTTCTTTGAGACCGCTGCCAACCCGAAATCACAGAGACGAATCTGGCTGGACTCGATGCGCTGCCCGGGCTTCAAACATGGGTATCCAGCGCTCATATCCAATGCCGACGTTAGAATAAGGCAGTTCTCAGGCTTCAAGTCAAGGTGAGCAATTCCTCGGGCGTGAAGGTACTGAAGTGGCTCCAAGATCCCAATCATCACTTGCTGCATCCAATCTGGTTGGACCTCCCGGATGTTGGACTCGTGCACCAGGGTATGAAGGTCCAAAGCACCTCGCTCCATAACCAGATAGATGTGTTCAGGTGCGTGAAGGACATCAAGCAGCCCAATGATGTTGGGGTGGTGTCCATGATTCTGCAAGATGCCGACTTCGAGATCAAGTTGCGCCCATTCGGCGGGGTCCTCGAGTCGCTTCTTTTGTTGGATCTTGATGGCAACGCTTCGGTTCGTGGTGGCAGTGTCCGTTGGTTTCTTGGGACGTACTCCAAGGCGAACTTGTCCAAAGAAACCTTCACCCAACATCTTTCCCAAGCTGTAGTCCCCGATGCGGTCGGATTGTTCCTGGAGATCATGGTCGACTGGCCCAATGTGAGGCCACAATGGTTCCTTCTTGGCCTGCAAACTGTGTTGAGTTCGACGTAGCTCTTCCTGGGCCTCATGGAGCTTGCGTTCCAGTTCCTGTCGCTGGGCTCGCTCATGGGAGAGGTCTTGATTCAAAAACAGATTGGCTGCGCGTTCGTGCTGAAGGGCCACTTGGGTGCGTTCCAAGACGATTCCTTGCTCTTCGAAAGCCACACGTAGATTCTGAAACTCATCATCTCGTTCCTTGTCTTGCCAGTAGGAGCGCCACAGTCCTTCCAAAGTAAGGCGATCGGCAATGGGGCTGTCCGATGTACCTCGCAGTAGGGAGACTCGAATGGAAGCACACTTCGAGTGACGCTCATCGCGGACACCGTGCACTCCCGCAGCGTCTTCAATGACCAAATCGCACTCATCAGAAGAGGCTTCGATCTTTCGTAGAACGGCGCTACTAACATCACCGAGGGTAAGGAAGAAAGGATTGTTCTCCTTGTCAGCATCAGTAGCTTCTCCGTCGTAGGCAGAGTCCAGAAGAAGCGTCAATGTCTTGTCCTGAGTGAGCGGGCAGCCACTGAGGTTCTTCTGAAGCACGTCGAGCAATAGATTCATCGTCGTGGAGGAGTTTGTTCGAAGGACTTGTAAGAAGAAGAAAGATAGATGTATTTCTCTCAAGTGCAGCACAATTTGCTGGTCCTGTTCGCTCTCGATGGATTGAGAAATAATGAGACGAGAAGGAGCTTTGATCCCCCCGAGATGTGTTTTGCCCACGACTTGACGGGGCTCAGTCTAACCCAAATGGACACGCCATGTCAAGGGCTCGTTGTGATGGATACCTTTGGTTGCGAGGTTCGTTCAGTCGCAATGGGATGATCAAAAAGTTCCAAAATGTGACGAGCTGAAATGCGGGTCGGTTTTCGAATCCATTTTGAGGTCAGATTGAAAACCCAAGAAAGGTGCGGTTTGCTCTCGGTGTGAGGTGTCTTGAAAGACGTACGGTGTACTTGTGCCGTGCGGCATGTACGGATACCTCTAGTCTGGCTCTTATGATAGATATGCGCATGTCCCATCAAATCAGGACTCTTTAGACTGAGGTCACTCGACTACATGTACATAGAGGCTTGAACTCAAGTCGACTGGTTCAAGAAAGGCGGTCTGTGATGAAGCGACCCGAACATTCCAAAACCTTCTAGCCTTATCCTTAATTAATACACCGCACAAGCCAGTTAGTTAGTTCAAACCATCGCAAGTAGACTAGCCTACTCTAGAGAAACGCAGGCGTGCGTTCCGGAGGAGAAAACAAACAGCAGCAATCCCCCGTCCACCAGGCATTTTCTTCAGTCCACCGTTCTCGAAAAGCAAACACCCTCCTCCAAGACGAACGAACCATCATGAGCCAACCGCAAACCATTGCACAACCAGTGCCACCAGCACAGGCGGCACAGCAGCAGCCGCCGAAGCCCCGAAATCGAACATGGGATGAGAATTATGCTCAGCTTTTGGTGTACAAGGCGCAGCATGGTCACTGCGACGTGCCGTTGAATCACAAGAACGACCGAGTATTGGGCAAGTGGGTGGCCCATTTGCGAGAGAACTGCAACCAGAGCAGTCTCTCCACTGAGAGGCGTGAAGCCTTGAACGCCATTGGTTTCAATTGGAATCCTCATGAACAAAAGTGGATGGAAATGTTCCAGCGGCTTCAGGGCTTTAAAAAGTCAGAGGGTCACTGCAAGGTGCCAACGAATTGGAAACCGGACAAAAAGTTGGGCAAATGGGTGATGCGCCAACGAGAAAAGAGAAAGAATGGGATTCTACCAGATGCTCGACGAGAAGCCCTCGAGTCGATTGGGTTTGTCTGGAAAGTGCACAAGGTGGAGCAGAACAAGGAGACACGAAAAACGCAACACGTTGATGAAAAGTGGCAAGAACGCTATCAATCCTTGGTCAAGTTCGAAAAAGAGAATGGCCACTGCAATGTACCAAAGGTCTATGACAAAGACCCACAGCTGGGAAAATGGGTCCAGGAACAGCGAGTCATGTACCAACGCAATTTGCTCAAAGCGGAGCGAAAGAAACTTCTCGAGGACATTGGATTCATCTTTAGTTATCGAGCACAGAAAATCCAACAGGATTGGAACCAAATGTATGAACTTCTCAAGGCTTGCAGTGAAACCACCGACAATGGACAGTTCAAAGTCACCGTCACGGACAGCAGTCTCTCGCGATGGATTCAACGACAAAAGGAGGCCTACAAAAACTACCGCTTGGATCCTGGGAGGGAGATCCTCTTGAACAAGATCAACTTTCCCTTCCCAGAACGAGCTCCTCCTAAACTGGAGGACCCTCTTGGCGCCAAAATGGCAACCAATGCAGCCGGTCTTCCCGTCAATCCGTATATGGCAACAGCCGCTGGAGAAAATCTCTTTGCAGGTTCTCCCGGAATGGCTCTTGGTGCAGCTGCCGCGGCCATGACACATCAACAACCTCTCTTGTTGGGTCATCCAAACAGCGTCGCGGCACACTTGCAGGCTTTGAACAACAAAAAGAGACAGGAAGCTTTCATCAGTGGCCAGCGGCAGGAACCGAGAGTTGCACCCGAAGCGGAACAAACCGTTGGGGTGAAACTGGCAGAAGGGATGGCTCTCCTGGCCAAGTGCATGGGCATTTCCAAGACAGAACTAGTGGCCCGATTGGCATTGACGTCTCCTGATTCGGCCAAATCAACCAAGTCAAAGCTAGGGAAGCGAAAAAAGCCAGAAGGTGATGATGACGAAAAGGAGAACGACCAGGAAGATGACAAAAGCAATGCAGCGGAGGAATCGCCACCGGTCCAGAATGCCTTTACGTCTCTTCTACCCAAGATCATGGCTATTCGAGAAGACGTTGTGAGCAATGAGCTCGAATCCTGCCAACGAGACGCTGCCAAGTACCTGGAGATGTACATTCGACGAGAAAAGGGATGGGATCCGCGTCCCACCGACGGCGATGGTCACCAGCGGTTACTGGCGCTGGCAACGGAAATGGGTATCTTGTTGGACCATAAATCGGAACGTTGTCAGACCATTGTTCAAAGCTGTGCCGACAACTTGGATTATGTATACTCCAAGGCCACCAAGAAGAAGGCAGACAAAGTCAAAGAAAAGGAAAATGATGACTCTGGTGGCAAGAGCACCTCCAACGATACCGGTATCAATAACAACAGTGCCGAGGATGATTCCAACGCCATCAAAGCGGATTTTTCGGTGCCAATGGGAACAACGGCTGCGGCAGCAAAGCCAGGAGATACAACGAATGCCAAGATGGAACCACCACAGACTGGAGCAAACAACGCCGAACCTCCCGGTGCCAAACGGCAGAAGGTGGGTCCAGCAGGAGCGTACGTCCTTTAAATACTTCGTGTCTGTGTACGCATTGAGTCTGATTGCCTCGCACAAGCCAATTCCGAGGGCATCAGCTGAAGGGAAAAGCACCCTCAGGGCCAGAAAAATCTTTCCAGCAAATAGACATTTCTACACAAACTTAATTATAAAAACACTGTTGCCGATGACATTATATTGAAAGGCTGTCCAACGTAGTAAGGGCGGTGTCCAGGTGTACCGTGGCCTCTCCAATCCTTTGGAATATAGCTACCGGGCACACAGTGATGAAAACTTATGTAAATGCATCTTTTCTTTTAAATTAATCAAAACAGTACTACTTGCTAGCATCAGTTTCAAGTTGTTTCTTGCCAATTTCCTGTACGGTAGTAACACAGGGCGCTCAACATCAGATCTCACATCATTATTTATTTGTTGTTCATGAGCAAACTGAGACCAACGAAAGCGTGGAGAGCTGCGCTGAAGTACAGAGTAGAAGTGGTGTAGTTGTTCGCCGCGAAGAAGGCAGTGAAACCTCCAACCCAGAAGGAAAGTCCCAACAAAGCAAAAACCTTCAATTTGAAAGCATTGTCAAAGTTTCCTCGCAGGCATTGTCCCAAAAATGTTCCAATGTCCGACGTGATTCCCGAAAAATGAGCCGATCGGCACAAGTTGGCAGTGTGGACAGATGTCACACTGTTTTGCAATCCGTTTGCCATGAGGGCCAAAAAGAAGCATGTCTTGGTGCCAGGGGATGACTGAGCAAATCGACTGGCGGCATAGAGCAGAGCAGATCCAATCAAAAAAGTAGGTCCAGTTCCATTGTCCAACACAAATGTCTTGGGACGAGGAATCATGAGGCCGGCAATGCAAGATCCAGTTACGTAACTGAGAATTGCTTTTGCGTTGGTGGCGAAAGCGGCCATGTTTCCACTGGCGGCACCCAAAGCTGAAGTAGTCCAGGCTCCTGTCACAGCTGCAACAGCAAATTTGTCGGTCCCAGCCAAGAGACCTCCTCCCAAGCAAGCACCATTGGTGAAACCACTGTTGAAAGCAAGCATCATTCCTGCGGCCACAGCGGCCTTTTTAGAAATTGCCATTGGGGAAACACTTTCAGTAACAGCAGGTGTCGCAGGTTTTGTCACAGGGTAGACCAACTCCTTCACCACACGCTCTTGGGGAGCCACAATGGCGAAGGCGCCAAAGGGAGACGCCAAAAGCAACAAGCTGGGAATCAAAAGACGGGCAATCATTTTCCAATTTGGTTCGACCACACAAAAATATGACGATGAACTTCCTTTCGTAGCTTTAGCAAGATGATGCACAGAAACTTTGCGCTCACAGTGATATCTCCTCTGCTTCGTCTTGGTTATAAGGACGATGCATGCATGACATCAGCTTGCATCAACTCGACGTTGCAACCTCATCTTTCTCTCGAGCTCGTCGAAGATCTTCTTTCGCGGAACGCTGAACACGTCACAGAAGCAATTCCACTCTGTGCAGCAGAGGTGGCGTGGTTTGCTTCCACGCTGTGCAGCCACGCAACTGATCTCTGCGCCAACAGGAGGGAAGCGGTGTTTGAAAGCAAGCAAGCAAAGATTGCTTTCATGTTTCTGGCTGGCTAGCTACATGGCTACCAGGGGGCATGTAGGTAGGTAGCTAAAAATTAGCTGCCGTAGTTCTATTAGTCTGTTCTTGCGCTTGCCTTCGAAGGGCTACACTACTCGTACTGTTCCGGTCCACAGTAGATTGCACGGTGGCACGAGGATACTGAGTATGAGCCCCGACAAGGAGAAACTTGAAAGCAAATTTGACATTTAGCTAAAGGTGCGTGCTACCAGGTACCGTATGTAGTGCATAACGGTACTGTAGATGGCATTGTAAAAGCACAGGTTGCGATCATGAAATTCGCCCTGTACCGTACTGGAACCCAAGACGAGATAAAGGAAGAGACCCAGCCATTTCGAAGAGACAAGTCGGGTCAAGCTTCATTTACTGCCTTCAGGATTGATCGTCCATCCACTTGTCCAACCGGGGCACCACCACTGTACAACTGATTGTTGAGGCAAAAAAATAGCACTCAGTTTTGGTATGATTTCCAGTCTCGCCCCGGCCGACAAGAACTAATGTGTGGCTCTAGGACGTTGAAATGACGGTACCCATGCATTTAGTGCACTCTTGATCATTGGTGCAGACTTCGTCGAAGCAATTATGGCAATAGACGCCACGACAAGACTCGCACTTGGCACTGGCAAAAATGATGGTTCCATAACAACCAATGCACTCGTTTTCAGAGACTGAAGATGCCTTCTTGGACACGGCATTGGCGACGATGCTTTCAGTCCGCAATTTGTCGTTCTTGGGAGGAGGTGACCGTTCTGCAACCATGAAGTCGTCTTCTTCATCGTAGTCGTCGTCTTCGACCTCCTTGTATCTGGGTTTGTTGGCTCTTCTGAATCCTTGATGGTTTCGAACACTCCAATTGAATCCAATCTCATTGAGCAATTGGATTTTTCTAGGGTTCATGTATTTCTCTCCTCGAGAGTAGGACAGGTATTCTTTTCGCAAACGCTTGACGAAATGGCCAAGTGTGGGGTGCCTGAAAGGGAAGACGTGAGTGTCGTTGCAACTGTACTGGGAACGGAGAACACAGTATATCGCTTACTTTTGAGGTACGTTAACGTGACCTTCCTCTTCCTTATACTTGACGAGCCACTGGTATCGTTCGTCAAAAGAGACCCTCTCCGGCATATCTTCAAACTCAAACCGAAAGTCGAGTTTCGCAAGAAGCTTTTGTTTCTCTAGCGACATACCGAACTCTAGCCCCTTGATGCTCCTTTGATGCAATGTCCTCATGTTCGTGCACCAACCTACGCAGAGATCAGGCGACGTGAGCTCAGAGCAAAACTAAAGTGTTTTCACCAGGCTTCAAGTCAAGAAATTGCGGTACTCACGATTTAGTTTCAAACTGGCGTCAGTGGCAGCCCTTGTAGCCCTTGAGTGACCTACAAACATGATCAAGACAAGCAGAGCAAGGCGAAGTGAGCTGAGACCAAAACATTTGTTTCACCAGGGGGGTTCAAACCTAAGAAGCACCTTTACTCACCATTTTTGATGAAGAAAGCTTGTAATCTGCGGTATTGATACATCCAATTAAAGGAAAGGTCGGTGGCCCAAATGAAGCCTGCTCTAGTCAGAAGGTCGACCTGCGCCTGTGTCAAAGTGGACACCGCGTCTGACGATTGCAAAATAACTGTGTTTTTCCGGAGCCCAGCCTTCGCTTTGGACAACGGGTCTCTCCTAGATTTGGTGTGTCTTTTCCTCGTTTTGATTGGTTTGCCATTTTGCTCATTTTCTTTGTCCGCGTCTATGCTCGATGATGTCATTCCCGTATTGCCGTTCAACAAGTGTTTCCCTGGTGTGCCAACAAGATCTGCTATAACCGTACAATCGTCATTGTCGTCGGCTGTCTTCCTCCGCTTTGAAGAATGCTCCACCGACTGCTCTTCCTCCTCTAGCAGCTGAAGCACTAAGGCATGCCCGTCTTCATCAACTCCGGCGGCTCTCTGTTCTGCGATCTCCTTTGCTCTCAAGAAGCGGACATGTTCATATCTCTGTCGTTGCACCCAAAAGTAGAGCTTCGGGTCAGCGCGGGTGGCAACCATCACATCGTCGTCATCAATGTCATCTTCGCGAAAAAACCTGATTGGGGGTGGCACCATACCATCTCCAACTCGATGGATGAATTCAACCAGTTTCAAGTACATAACGTAAAACTGGCTGGATTCCAGGTCATCCCAGTCGAATCCAATGCCACGTAGTGCTGCCATTTGCCCTCTTGACAGTGGAGGTGCTTGTGTCGGTGGCGTCTCTCCAGTAGCGACTGAAGTCTTAGTCATCATTGTCATTGATCGTTGGTATTTCATTCGCTGAAGCTGCGCCCATGACCCCAGTTCGACAGAATCTGAAACTGCAGTGTCGCCGCGTGATCTAACGTATTCCCTCAAGTCGTAGAATGAATCCTTCCATTCTTGGGGTGCGTCGGCTGGTGGTTCCTGATCTGGTTGCCAGATAAAGTGGATGTCATCTAGCAGCAAGATCTTCGCACGCTGCATTTCTCGAATCTTTTGGATCCTTTGTTCACTGTTGACCTTATCGTCTGGAACGCATGACTCGGGCTGTCCTAACGACTCGGGCTCTCCCAACGACTCCGCAGCATGGTTCAATGGAGGGAGTTCCCAGGGGTCGTCCGGGTCGTTTACTTTGCCGGCATTGGAGGCACCTTGAGCCACCGTTGGCACGACACTTGTCTCCTCACCAGTAGGCTTTGACGTTTGTTCCGCCGCGATTCCCTCTCCCGGCCCAGTCTTTCCATTTTCTCCAGTATCAGACGTAGCGTTTTCTTGTGCTGGGGGGCGCACTTCTGTTGTGCTCTGGGCTTCTGAATTTGATGTCTGTGCCTTTTCATCGGCGACTGCCGTTGGATTCTTGGCATTGGGTTTTTGGTTTGATTCATTTGCCTCCTTGTCGCCCAGCGGTGCTTCTGGAGTTCCAGATGACTCGATGCTAGCAATCTTATTGGACTCGTCTTTGTTGGCGTCGTCCTCATCGTCATCGGATCCTTGTTTTGTTTTCGCTGCACGAGGAAGTCGTTGCTTCGTTCGCTTACGGCTAATTCGACTTCGCAACGAACGTAGTTTGCTTGGTTCGTTCTCGGCGCATGTTAGTGGTGCTTTCTTTCTCTTGTTTCTTGCTTTGGCATGGCCTTTTGCAGAGGATGTAGCAGCTTGTTTGCCTTCTTTCGTCATGGCCAGTTTGGTGCTATTGGCCTTGCCGCTATTCTCGGGAGCTTCGTCTGTGCCTGTTTCTGTGACAGTTTCAGAAGACCCAGCTCCTCTGGGTTTGGCGGGTGCCTTTTTTGTGGTGGTTCCATTGCTGTCTTCTGAATCGACCTGCGTTGCTTGTGCAGTTCCTGACGCTTCCGCTCCGCCTGTCTTTGCTGCGGTGGATTGGAGAAGCATCTGCTGTGTTCGTTCTTGATGCTTTGCTTCCTCCCATGCGCAATGCTCCCGGTACATTTCCTGTTGATCCAAGACCCAATGATTCAAAGGCTGCTCATCCCCATGCATGTCCGGTTTCATTCTTTGGGCTTGTCGTACATTGCCAGAAACCCACTTGTCCGTGTGTCCTAGAGAGTACAAAGTTACCCGAGCCGCCTCCAATTGCGCATACATGCTCAACCAAATGGGGTCTTTGATCTTCAAATAATTCTTTGCTTGCTCCACTTGCGACGCAGTACTACCATGATCGTCGACTGGTTGTGGTGACGATTGGGTTGTTTTGGGGGCTGGTGGCGACGGGAAGGGAAACTCTGTGGCAGGCTTGGGTGGTGAAATGAAGGTAAGCGTTCCCCTTTTTTGTTTGGGACTATCCTCGGCAAAGACGAAGTTGGGCGATGCATGCAAATTAAAGTCAAATTCCGTGTCTTTCTTGGAGGTAGGTGATAACAAGAATGATCCATCGCCCTGAGTCGCCTCTGGCCCTGGAGATAGCGGCGGCGGTGCCACAGTAGGGGCTTTTCGCGGATTTGGCAACGCGACAAGACGATTTCGTCCCCTTGCATCTCTGGTGATTGGAAGTTCGTTCGCATCGCCTGCTTCCTTTGATTTTGCCGGTGGCCGATCAATCAACTTTTGTGGAGGCAATGGATATTTGCGAGGACGCCCTCGCTTTCTCTTGGGTCCCACATACTTTGGTTTCGGGGGTACGATTTCGCCCTTTCGTGGACGACCTCGTTTTCGCTTGACGGGAACTGGTTGGTCGCTGACTGGTTGAGCCGTTGTTGGTTGCTCTGGCGGTGGCTTTTTAAGACTTGTTGGCTTGGTACCGAGTGGATCGACAGCTTGTTCAGGGACAGTAGACGGATTGGCCATCCCCGGCAGAGCGGGCAAATCGGGACAAGCTGGTGTCATGGATTGTCGTTCGGGGGCAGTGCCCATCAATGGAGGCATGGCTGGAGTAGTGGGTAACTGTTGTACAAAAGCCATTCCGGGAGATAGTACTGCCGAGTTTGGAATCGGAGGAAACTGCGTCATCAAACCAAGCGGGGGAGTTGCTGCTGCAACGCTACTGGGGTTGTCGGTCTTTCCTGAAGGTGTGTCCCGAGCTGCAAAGATTGCTTGCTGCACATGAGCCTCGTGTACAATTCCTAGACCGGCAACAGACCCTGGCGATGCAGGTCCCATCGGTTCAGGTAGAGCTGCTAGTGACATTGGTTGTTGATCCTGCAGTTCCTGATGCATGGGTTGCTCAACCGGATCCTGTTCCATGGGTTCATCATGATGGTTAAGTTGCAATTGGTTGTCTTGCTGATGGAGAGCCGGTTGTTCCTGATGTATTGGTTGTTCCACCGGATCCTCTTGCATTGGTTCGGGAAATTGATCCTGTTGTGTTTGGGTATCCTGCTGATTCTGAAGATCCTCTTGGGTGTTTTGCGTCGGTGATGGTTGTGGGAACTCCTGTGGTGGTGGTTGCTGCAAGACTGGATCGTCATGTCCATTGGCGTGAGGCTGTCGCTGCCATTCTAGTTGTGGTGGCGGTGCCTCGGTCTTGACGATGCGTTCGGTCTTGATCGAGGGAAGCTGCTTTGCCTTTTGGTTCCGATACATTTGCAATACTTCTTGTGTGCTCTCAGGGTTTCCAGCTTCCACCCATTGTGTACAGTTGACATTGGCAGGGTCGACTCTCTTCAAGAAAAGGGCGCCAAATTGCTCTCGCGTTGTTTTGACCACTCTCTCGGCAAACCCTTCTTCCAGATCTTCTCTCGTCGCGGTCTCTGTCGTCAGCGCATCCAACTTGGATAGGGACAACTTGACAAATTTGCGGCAGCGAATGTTACCAGGATGCCTTGTAAAGTCGTAGAGCTCCTTGTTGTGACTATTGTTGTTGTTGTTGTTGTTGTCAACGAGCAGGACATCGATGGAAGTCACCATTCGAAGTGTCGTGTAGCCACCATCTTCACCATTCGAGGTTACAACTTCAAACGTCTGGAATGGCGGAGCTATGCCTTTCTTCTTTTTCTTCTTTTTACTCTTGACCTTGGCGCTCGGTGCCACCGGAGGGTGGTCTGTTGAGGGGGATTGCTTCAAGTTGGGAACTTGTTCTGTGGAGGACATCTTCACGAGAAAATGGGTACTTTTTATTAACCACTGCCTCCTCGGTCTACTGATGCCATTGAAGCCCAGGATAATCAGACGTTTCCTTCAGAGAACCAATGGTGCTAATAATAATGATAACATAAAGCAATACAGACAATACTCAGACAGAGCAATCAAACAGGATCTCAAGGTACCCGAGCAATGACAATTGTAAGAAAACTCAAGTTTTGAAGGAAATTTGAATAAGGAGGGCCTAACAGCTAATACATGTAACAGAAACAGTGGAGGCAACGGTCAGACCACCTCGGTCTCGTGACGTTTGGCGCCAAAAATGCTGATGGCTCACTTGAGCCACGGCATGCAGGCAACAGTGGAGCGTGGGACACCAATGCGGATGCGTGTTTTGGAGCAGATTTTGGAGCATTGCTCCCATGTGGGCCATCGGATGGTGTAAGGTACTTGGCACAGCACTTCGCACATGTACCGGTATGTTGAACGGCACCGGTATCTCCAGTGCTGAAGCTTGAAGCGTATGAGACGGTCAATTCCAGTAGGAAGGTTAGCTCTTGCTAGCCACCGTAGGGTCTGGAAAGCAGCTTCGTATTGGACTTGTCAGTCAAACAGCCAGCCATTCAGCCTTTGCGCCTGGGTACAGCTGTAGATTTCTACATTAGTGTTGGGCATTTGGTCTACGATCCGCACCTACCGGTAACCAGTACTTGCACGTGGTGCTTTCCGTTCTCGCTCGGTGGCAGCAACTGCTTCCTTACGCTCACACAAAAACCCAAGTGCTTTTTGTTCAGCAAGCTACAAGAGTCATAGGGACTACAAGGTTTTTTCGAGTAGCGAAGTCATTCATTCACTCACTCACAGAAAGTTGCAAATAAACGTATGGTTAGCGCGCTCGAACATGGCGTCCAACCAACTAGCTGAAGCCATTTTGTCCAACTCCCTGAGCCAGGTAACATTCCATTTGGATGCTGGGACCAGCGTTGATAGCAAGTTTGATTCGAAGTGTTTGCACATCTTAGATCAGCTAACGGGTGCCGAGGATGCCGAGGATGACGAGGATGAAGATACAGAAGATGTTCCTGGTCACGTCAAAGTCGCACTCTACAGCACCCTTGGGTTTGCTTATCCTCTACATTTGGCAGTAGTGAATCTGTATCATTCTGTGAAAGAGAGGGCTCTTTATGATTCTGCCTTGAGGATATTGGATCTTCTTCTGACCCGCGGAGCAGATACTTCCAAATGCAGCAAATGGCTGATCCTGTGCAACATTTCAGGATGGAATTGGAGTCCTTTTGTTTCTGATGCCAAGAGTTACACTCCTCTAGATTTGGCCCTCTTCTTCAAGAGACATCCCATCTGTGTTTATAAAGCTGAGACCCACGCCGTCATGGAGGCAGCCATCAAATGGATCCAGAAAAAGGCAAAGAAGTCTCCCACAGCTCCAATCAAGACTGTCCCCGTTGTGGCGGAAGTTGCCGCGGCGTGGAAATCTTTGCTCTGTTCTGAGGAATTCAGTGATGTTTCCTTCCAATGCTCAGACGGGGTTTCTCTTCCTTCTCATAGGAACATCTTGGCAGCTGCGTCTCCCTACTTTGCAACAGCCCTGAACGGTCAATGGTCTGAGGTGAGCTCTGGAACATGGAAGCCCAGCTACCCATCCACTATCATCCGACCCATCCTGGAACTGATCTACACTGGCAAAGTTCCACAAGACTTTTTCAATGAAGATCCCCTGATGCTGTTCAACTGCGCCTCGGAGTACGATATCAAACCTGCCATCAAGCTAGCAACCAATGCGTGCATTCAAAAGTTGGGTGTCTCCAATGTCAAACCTACTTTGCAGGCTGCTCATTTGCACCACAGCACCAAGATCAAGATAGCCTGTTTTCGTTTTGTCCAATCCAATGCAACCAGGGTTCTCACAGATGCTCGTTTCATGACTTTGGCTCAGGAATATCCCGAATTATGGTCGGAGCTCACCAAAGCCATTTCTTCGAATGACAACGAAAACGCATCCAGGAAGAGGTCTCGAGCAGAATAGGATCTTTTGTGCTCGCTCATTGAAAACCATAACAAACAATCCCCCGTCACAACACGTAAGAGTAGAGACTATACTTCGCGCCCTTCTGGTCGCTATTGTCTGTCTTCCGAGCCATCTAATATAATCTAGCAGTACTTTGCACACACATATAATGCATTTGTATTATCATCTTTTATATAAATTTTTGTGCATTGATTTAAAATCATCAATGGTAGAACGCTATGTATGTATTGTTGTCGAGAAATGCCACAGCCACCCCCAAGAGGTATTCCAAGCCCAATCATAGTGACGACGCAAGTGCTTGCACCATCATCATTGTGACGGCAACCACGGACCAACCAACCGCATTGGTTGTTGCCGCCGCCGACGTGGATTGCAGTCCATTATTATTGGGCATGCCATTGACGGTTGCAGTAGTCGTGGTGTCATTGGCCGGTGGCGGTGTTTGATTGGATGTATCCTGTGTGGGCGGAAATCCAAAAAACGCCTTGATGCGCGCGAGTAACTCTTCGTTGGCAGCAATGTCGTGTACCATGTCAGCGACGGGTGTTATCATTTGCTCCACAATGGTCTTGCCGACGATAAAGGTGGTAATGGGAGCATTGAGATTAATGAGTAGAATTTCCACCGCTTGTCCGGCTTGGATTCCAAAGGCGGGATTGTCCGTGGTGGTGACCTGCAGGACGGCCGTGGTCATGTCGGATCCGTCAATGGGTTCCAACAAGGCATTGAGAGTGTCCATGTCCATGCTGTCTTGGAAAATTTGCGGTGATCGAAAGGGCAACGGGAGTGCGTCGAACCAGATATAGTCTCCCGGTGGTACCCCTTGATTGAGACTGGTGTTAAAGTATTGCAAGAGTTGCGCATTCATGCGATCGGAATCCCAGGATCCCGCTTCGTTGGTATTGGTGACGACAATTTTGAGTGTCTTGTCGAGTGGATTTTGGGCTGTCAAATGATATTGTGCAATATTAATGGGAATGGCGGCATTGTCGACCAATCCTCCATCGATCATGAGTCCATCCGTTTCGGAACAAGGATTGGGCCATTGCGTGCAGACGGCAAATTTGTCCAACAGCGGACTTGCGTAGAGTCGATTGGCAGCCCGATCAAAAATGGATTTGGTCAAGAAATCATCCTCCAATGCAACGCGCATTTTGGAGAGTGCTTGGGTGAATGTGGAGGGTCCGGCGGGAGAAAAGGGTCCGACGGCGGCGGAACTGACGGCTGCCACTTGGACGACCGTCGCGGCTCCTCCAAAGGGTGCGGCAAACTCTTGGGCGGGTTGTTCTTGTGGTGTTTGTGGTTGTAGAATTTCGGCATTTGACGCCGGAGGATACAAGTGGTAGTCCTCGAAATCGGTAAAGGCATGTTCTGGATAGGTAGATTGTGCATATGTCATGAGCATGCCGTCGTCATTACTGTCTAGAGTATTGTACTGGAATCCCGCAAAGGTGTCATTGACCGTGTACGCCGCCGAGAGTGTCAACGTGTAGAGTTGTTCGTTCCTGTTGCCAATGTTGACTGTGGTATCCATGCCGGTGGTCATGTTATTTGCTCGAATGCGGGCATTGGCGAGCAAGGCGGATTGTACCAAGAGATCCGTGCCTCGGAGTGGCGCAATCCGATTGTCACCATTGGCGATCCGAGTGGGAAACGTGGTGTCGCCGTAGACCAATGCGGCCGATGCCATCATGTCGTCGATAAACGCCGTCCAATCTCCGTCATAGTCCATGAGCATGTTACAGAATTCGGCAAAAACCGTTAGAAGAGGTCCTGGTTCTGCTGCTGGTTGTTCTTCTGTCATATTGCTTCCACCCAAAAAGTCGGTAATATCACAAATATCGTATTCTTCCAATTCTTTCGCGACACTGAGATAGGCAATCATCCATTCTTCCGCAAAGAACTTGAGATCGGCCGGACTTGGTGCCATGACGGTCTTGGTGTAAAATTCAGTCGAATAAAAGGCTTGCGTCGAAAACCACGACGCTCCCGAATTGGTGGAAATGGCGGAAAAGTGCGTGTGATCGTCGTCCATCAGCCCGGCTTGTTGAAACAGATTGGCAAATCCCATGCCGGCAAACATGGCACGCCATCCACCACCGGTCGATGTCCAACGAAAGACCACGTCATCGTCTTGTTGTGTGGCGGCTTGAACTGTACAAGTGGTACTACTACTAGCCAGTAGCAACAAAAGGAAGAGCTTCATGGTTTTTGTGGTCTCGATTATCTCAGCACAACTGTGTCTCTTGGTGGCTTGGTGGTTGATCGAGTGTGATGACGGAAGTGAATTGTGGTGTATCGAGCGGTTTCGTTGGTGGTTATTATTGTTGCCGTTTTTCTTGTTCCAGACTTTGTTGGCTCTCGGACCTTTTTAATAATTGTGACCGTTTGGAATTAGTGCTCTCGCTTTTGTGACTTGTGGGTGTTTTTCTCATGAACAATCCAGCAGGCGCGCAGGCTACAAAGCGATGGAAGGAAAGAGAAAGATCCAAAAAGATCCAAAGATCAACCATCATAACAATCCGACTCGACTCCAACCAACGATTTGACCTGACAACCACAACATCCAAAGCTTCCGAGTAAATAGCACAAGAAAACAGATAAGATTCGACTAGTTTCATTGAATTAAACAGCAAACCTAGCTAGGATCAACCATCACTATCATATATATCATGCCATCCTTATTCACACCCATGACAAGAACAACACACGCAGAAGCAGCTCCAAGGCACCACAGAGGTCCCAATCCGATGGTATTCCCAAAGGAAGGTACCATTCCCATCACACAAAGCGAACTAAGAGCACAAGGGGTGACCTTTTGCATTCAGCAAATACAAACACAGTATCTATGTCTAGAAAAGGCAAGGGTGAGTCAACAAAAACAAAATACAGATACAGACAGAAATACAGACAGGAGATGATATATAATGTATGGATACCTCATTCATTCTGGTTCTTTTGTTTCTATTATTCATTCACAACTCTATAGGAAGCCTACTTGGCGGAAGGATTGGATCCACGCAAAGGACCCGAATGGTACTATTTTCATCTCCGAATGTGCTTTGACACACAAATGGCCGCCAATCAGTGTGTCATTGAGCACAGGGAGAAGGAACTACGACAACGACAAAAAAGAATTCGAGAAAAGAGACTCTCCAGTGCTGCTAGTTTTAGTGCCTAAATGAAAAGAATGCATGACACACAAACAACAATATACGATGTACCCAAAATCAGAATGGGACAAGTGCATGTTATTATAGATTAGAAAACAACCAAATGCCGAGTCAAAAGTGCCGTTCGGTACGTTTACCCCGCTGGCTAGAGTCTATATTTGACGACAACACGCACGAATTTTAGAGCGGATTCTAAGCAGTAACAAGGATGTTTTATGCTTTGCCTGCAACACCAGTCCCTGCTCTGCCGTAATATGTATCTTTTTTTGGTGCTAGTAGTACGGTTGTGTTGGTTTGGTTATGATCGTGGTCTGCAGTGTTGGCCGTAGTATCCCGAATTGCTTGATGCAATCACTTCGCAGCACTCCAGGTGTCCAGCAACCAGTACCACATGAAGTGAGTGGAGCAGCTGTGGAGCTGTCAGTGACTGATCTCAAGACCCGAGCGAGCACTCCTCGTAGAGCCATGGGCCAGAACAGCCACTACAGTCTTATCTTTGCAAGTGCGTGATCCAAAGAACACAGTTAGTTTGGATGAACCTTCACTTTTGAGATTGAGGTAACACACGAAATTGACCCCCTCGTGTGCGCATTATTGCCTCCATCGACTCCAAAAATAGCTACCGGTACTACCGTACGGTACGTGAGGGTGCGCAGCTTCTTGGAAGGCGCTTTGCTCCCCCAAGCCAAATAATTAGCAGCTTCTTCGTCCTTTTCATCACTTGGTTTACCTACTAGCTAGTAGAATACATGTACCAGTACCACCTAGATTGGCACCAATCCACATGACCCATACCCATTCCATGGCATCCAGTCCGATTGCCTCAAAATCTCGAAATGGTGGTTGGGCTGTACGTACCTGATGGCTTTCTGTTCCGTCAATATGTACCGCAAGTAAAGCATCAAACTCTTCCTTCAAAGGACCTAGTAGCTCTAGCTACCGGTACCGGTAGAATAGACTACCTTCCGCTTCAAAAGCCAGGTCATTTGAGTCGTCTGACGTCAGTCGAAAGTGCCTAAATAAGGCGTTCCTTTCTTCGGAATTGATAATGTGGAGGAGAGCCCAGCTGCCCAAAGAGTATGAGAAGGGATTTTTTGGAAGTTGAAAACATGTTTGAAAAGGCTATCACTTAACAATTGTTGTTCACTTCTCTGTCCACCCCTAATTCTGCTTCGAAGCAAAATGACAGCTTTCCGAGGGCAATTGATTGTGGTGACTGTAGGTTTTGAAGCCAATGAGATAGAAGGTGGATGATGCTACTCACAAGATGTTTTGACACACCTAATAGAGCAGTCGGCGTCATCGGAGCCAGGCACAACGAAAGTATAGGGCAACAGTATCAAAGCAACCATCTTCCTTCCACATTGGTCATTTCTCAAAAGCAGCTGCTTGGGGGTATCCATTGAGCACTAATCGATCCGAGCACCTCTCACACCAAACCAAGGGTAGATACCTCATCACGAGGAACTGTACTCTTCCCTTCATCTACTCTCTCTTGAAACACAAGAACAAACAATGACCTCCACCCCCGATGCAGAGGCCAATCTCCCCCGACGCCACTCGGAACCGACTCTGAATGGCAGTGCCCATGAAGTCGCCGCATCCGAAGAGGCCAACCGGCGCCGACAGAATCGTCGTCGGTCCAGCAAGCGACGACTGCGCGACGAAGATGAAGCATCGGATGGCGATTTGTCCGATTTTGATACTTCCAAGGTTTCCTTGACGTGGCGTGAGATTATTACGGGAACCTTGCTGGTCTGCGCCTTTTCCGCCTGCATGTCCGTCTTTGTGCTGCTGGGTGGTCAACAACAACAACAAGATACAGATAATACAGCCGTTGGGGCATTGTCACCACAGTGCGAGTCCAAGACATATCTCCAACAGAACCTCCTCTCTTATTTGATTGCGGGAGAATCACATGAAGATTATCTACAACACAGTAGTCATAATGACGACAACAGCACTTGCTCCTATTCCTTTCATATCTGTTCCGACCATCCTTCCACTGCCACGCTACTCGACAATTTGGAAACCGTCTTGTACGTGTTGCTGCTCGGGGCTCTTTGCACCGTCATGGGAGTCACTGTCTTGGTCTACGATGATAGTGAAGATGCCATGATGCAATGGATCAAAGACAGATCCAGACGGGCGGCTGGAAAGGCCATGATGGATCTATCCGATCATGCTTCCTGGGGAGGTAATGCCAGTTTTCGACGAAACGTTGCGTCCATGGCAGATCTATTCCCGGATGCATCCGTGCTCTTTGCGGATATTGTAGGATTCGAAGCGTGGTCCAGTCAGAGGGAACCGACTCAATGCTTGACACTGCTAGAGACTATCCACGATGCCTTTGACAGACTTGCCAAGGAGCAGGCGGTCTTCAAGGTGGAAGCCAGCGGTTCCAACTACACGGCTGCCACGGGTCTCCCCGAGGCTCGATCGGATCATGCCGAAGCTTTGCTACGGTTTGCCGATGACTGCCGTAGGGCCTTCAAGGAAACTACCAAGGCTTTGGAAGTCACATTGGGGCCGGACACTTCCGATTTGAGTCTCAAAGTTGGAATTCACAGGTAAGAAGCCATGAAGAGTTCGTTCATACGACCTACTGACAACAGCTCATGTATATACCATCCTTTTTCAATGCACACACACACACAGTGGACCAGTCACCGCGATCCGAGGAGGACGTTCTCGCTTCCAAATCATGGGGGATACCGTCAGCACTGCTGCTAGCACTTGCAATTCCAGCAAGGCTGGAAAGATCCAATTGACTCATGAAACTGTACAGCTCTTGCCTTCCTTGTTGCAGGATGAGTGGGTCACTGTTCGCAATCAGTCACTGGGTGGTGGCAGCGGCAAGGGAGAGGAGAACCCTACATTCTGGCTCACCATACCCTCGGATGCCGAACCCTCTTCCAACCCCGAGGATCATGCCCAGGACGACCGTATTCCTCGTTTGGTCGATTGGAACGTGCAGATTCTACGTCGAGTCCTCAATCAGATTACCGCCAAACGGGTGGCGGCCAATGTGCACTACAATGGAGCAACGGGGACCGCCAGTCGCGAACCTTCTCCCATTCCTTGCTCTCCAGTCAACGAAGATGCGATTGAAGAGAGCCTGCGCAGGGGAAAGATGGTCATTGGTACGTATTTTGCTTTTTTGAAGCTGAGGCCACATACATACATGTGCTGGACAATGGATTGCCTGATCTTTTGCGTTTGACGTTCTTTTTGTCGCATCGAATCGATTCCGAACTGTCCCACCTGCAGATGAAGTCGAAGAAGTCATCATACTACCCAAATACGACGCGGCTGTTGCCAAAGCCCAAGAGACATTGAAGTATGGGGGTGAAACTATTGAAGTGAGCGACGAGGTCGTCGATCAACTGAGGGAATACATTGGGGCCATTGCGAGAAGTTACAAAAACAATCCATTTCACAACTTGTACGTGTTCGTTTCCTCACTTTGCCCCCTTGACAAGAAGTCATGCAACTGACCCATACCACCCCTTTCATTTTCTTCTCTCAGTGAACACGCTAGTCATGGTAAGGGTTCCTTCTCGTCTCCTTCTTTTGTTTCTTTCGTCTCTTTCGTCTCTTCAATTCATTCAAATGCCCCTTTTGATTCTCCTTTCTTTCCCAGTGACGGTAAGCCACCGACCTAAAAATGTCAGGTGCCATTGTTTGGTTCTGGCCTGAACTCACACCTCGCAAACGCCCGCATCTTGTCTTGAACACTTTACGACAAATTCATAGATGAGTGTAAGCAAGCTCCTATCGCGTATCCTCCGACCAAAGCTCGCAAAGGGTTCCTCCATCAACGATTACGACGACGATGACAAACAGCAAAGAATCCATGTAAGAAACAGTTGGTACAGTGTGATGCTTGTGTCGTGAAAGTCCTTAACACATATCGCCGCAATCTGCTCCTTCATTCCTTCCCAAGGATCACACATATGGAATCACATCAGGTAAATGATAAAACTGCTCTTGTACCTCAATCGCATGCCTCCTCTGGCTTTCACGAAAGAAGCTCACCATCTTATCGATCCAATCAACTCCCAGATCCTTTGACACAATTCGCGTGTATGTTCAGGTAAATGATGAAGTGATCTTCTTTCTTTCGTCGACCACCGTATCAAGCTTTCATTGGAAAAAACTCACCATCTTTCCCGTCTATCGCTCCTACTCATGTTGCAGTGCACTCATCCACGACGCTGAACACGATGGAGTTCCAAATGCTCAACTGGTCAAGGAAGAGTCAAAACTGGCGTCCAGGTACAAGAACCAGAGTGTTGCAGAGCAGGTGAGTACAGTGGATGAGATTGGATACTTGCCTAGAGTACAAAACTTTGACTTAATCCCGTTGCAATGACCTTGTGCCGGGCATAGAACTCTGTTGATGTGGGCTGGAACCTCTTGATGGAACCTCGTTTCCAAGAACTCCGCAATGCCATTTACAGCAACGAGGCTGAAATGGTTCATTTCCGAAAGGTACAGTTTCTCAACCGTCATGGAGTTGAGGTTTGATTGCTGAGACCTGACTGTTCCTGCGTACTCCTTTTTGCGTTCATAGTTGGTTGTCAATTGTGTCATGGCAACGGACATTGTTGATAAGCAACTCAAGGAACTGAGAAACAAGCGTTGGGAACGTGCCTTTGCCGGCAAGACAATTGACAGCATGGACATATCGTCAGACGATCCTGCCATTCTGGAAGAGGATGTCAACCGCAAGGCTACCATTGTCGTAAGTCCAAACTATTACCAATTGAGTGAGTAGTTGTGGTTTCAAACATGGCTGCCCTCACACGCGACCTTCTTCCCTGTAGATTGAGCATTTGCTTCAGGCCTCCGATGTATCGCATACGGTAAGCCAACTTGTGGTTGCTTGCTCGATCGTGTGGAGAGGACAGTTCGACTGACTGACTCTGTGACTTGTGTTTCTGCTTTCCAACGCAGATGCAACATTTCAATGTGTTCCGAAAATGGAACGAGGTAAGTAGAGGACATTAACACAAAGTTTTGATTCCGTCCGACTGTTCTGACATCCTTCTCCTCCAAATATTTCTTGTTTCAGAAACTTTTCCATGAAATGTACTTTGCCTTCAAGGATGGCCGTTCTACTTCCGACCCCTCTAAGTTTTGGTGAGTTCTTCTGTCATGCATGGAGCTTTCTGTATTGATCGTAAGAACATGCAGCCTTATCCCTTCTTTTGCTTTTGACTTGTCTCTTTTTCAGGTACAAAGGAGAGATTGGTAGGTTCCGCCCAACTCCACTTCAGTTTTGGCCCGTCCGGTCGGTACCTCCAGAATGCTTACAAGCGCTTGTCTCTTTCACCTCTTTCGGCGTGCGTAGGCTTCTTTGATTTTTACATCATTCCACTCGCAAAGAAGCTGAAGGAATGTGGTGTCTTTGGTGTTTCGTCTGACGAGTACCTGAACTAGTAAGTCAACTAGCCAGCTGCATGACTGCCCTGATCATTTATTTTGAACGCAGCAATTGATTGCTTCTGACTGTCTTGTTTGTTGTTTTGTACGCATCTCGATCAGTGCCACCAAAAATCGGCAAGAGTGGCTCAGCAAAGGAAAGGGCATCGTGGATGGTTTGGTGGAGAATGCGGAACGCGCCTATTCCCAAATTCGCGACGACCGAAGCAACCATAGCATCAAGTTTGCCTAGCTAGCTAGTCATAGCAACGGCACCCGAGGATCAAAACGGTCCCCTCCTCCATGTACCCGTATACAACACAAGATACGAAGAGAAACAAGCAATATAGAAGACATAGACCGGTATCCACGCTCCCACTCATCCCTCTTTTCCATGACCTCCTACATCATCATCGACAACACAACACATCACACGGTAGAGCCACAGCTCCTCTCTTGCTCCCAACCAGGGTTCGGCTGTTGAATCAATTCACACAACTCCCAGCTTCCAGCAACGAACCCGTGAAAGCAGCAGAAGCTAATATTACCAGAGTACAAACTATCAGCTTATTCATACGTATTATTATAAAAGAGTTATTCATGTCCTCTGTTCGTCTATTTTATACATTATAAAATTCAGTATTGTGGAGATCGCTACAACGGTGCTCCTAAGGTAATCATCCCCCATTGCTTGTTTGCTTGTTGTCGATTATGTTTCTTCCATGCTCATTGTTTGTGTCATTGAGACGGATTCCTCCTCGTTATTAGTATTAGTACTCGTACTTCCTCCCATGGCTTCCAATCGTTCCTGGAGTCTCCGAAACTGAAAGATCCCCTTGTTGCGTTTGTAGGGATCCTGAAAGGGCAGACCATCGAGTCCCTTGTACTCTTCACAGAGAAAGCCGCAGCACTCTTTGGTAGCTTGCGCGGTTTCTATAATGAGTTCTCCCAGTTTCTGTGGTAATTTTTGTGCCAGTGCCAATTCGACCATTCCCAATACAGCCACTCGAATGGTTTCGTGGCGAATGATATTGTTGTAATTTCTGGGTTGTCGTCCACCCACATGGATGGATTCAAATCCCGGTTCATTGTGATAGGGTGTGGCATTCATCAGAGATTGAATACTCAACAAGACACTGCCAATGGTCAATGCTGGCGTCCAACTGGGGCCACTCCATGTTCCGAGAATGGAGAGACAAACCTTCCCACACGCATAAATATTGGGATTGAAGCGGACGGTGCCCAGATCGGTGGTTTGTATCGTCACTTTGGGTGGTTCGTGCGGATACGAATTGGGAAAATCCATAATGAAATAGAAGGATCCAAATTCGTAGGGAGTTCCAGTGGGTCCCAGTAACAGTGCATGACACCGATTGGCGAGATTGTCGTCCGGAACAACAAAGATTCCCTCAATGGGATCATTATAGAGTTTGGTCAGATCATTGTGGATGCGATGCAAGCACTGTTTGGTCGGGTTTTGAAAGGCAAAGGAAGAATCATCGTCATCTTCTAGTTTCAGCTTCTTGAGTTTCGGAAGAGGCGCTTCTTCATCATTGTCGTACGAAGAAATCTCGTGGTGCATCGCTGCGGAGGTGGCTACTACCTTGAGTTCTTCGTGATGATGGTGATGATGATGGCCACTTCCCGAAGGAACTTCCATGCTGTCTGATGATACATGTAATGCTGCACCCGTGGCTACTGTTTGGAGCTCCATGGTTGGTATTAATGCAGTTGTTGGTTCTTATCGAAGTAGTGTAGTGGAAGGAACAAGGATGTCAACAGCTTTTTTTTTTCTTCAAGAAGAAATAAATAAATACTAAATAGATACGTTATTATCCATGGTCACGTTCAAGTCCCTCCAGCGGGACTCATAGATTTATGACTCCCACGAGTGGAGCCGTGACTCCTCCAGCGGAATTCATTTAAAAAGCACTCGAAAAAAATCGACCATGGTGACAAGGGTGGCTTTACAGAGCCATATCGCCGTAACGATGACATATAATAAGGTGCTACTATCATTAACTTCACTACACGTCACTATGGAAGCCTTCTAGAGCCACTCCTGGGTCAATCCTTCGGTTTCTTCATAAGAATCGACCGAATCAAGGGAATCACGATGATCTTTCCACGTCTTGATGCTGTTCTTGGTGCCATAGCCCTTCTTGGTGCCATAGCGACCGCGACGAGGAACTTCCTTGATGACCTCCTCCACTTCAGAATCCTCAAACTCAGTCTCAGAGCCGGAGTCGGACTGTTCGGCAGCAGCAGCAACAGCGGCAGGCTTTTTGTCCTCGACAATTTCCACCACGTCTTCCTCTTCCTTGACTCCTCCGCCGAGGAAATGGGTGCCAATGGCCTCAGCAAGAGCCATCATGGCTTCCTTGCTCTCAAAGTTAAAGGTGAAGAGGGCTCCTCCTCCAGTAGGACGAAAGGAAATGGAAGCATCATCAACAACCTTAATGGTCTTGGGATTGACAGTGGCAACAATGGCAAGGTGGGACATCTTGAAGCGGTTGGATGGTTGGTCGGCTATGAAAACTACCCAAGGGGATGCTTGTTGACTGTGCAACTGGTCGATTGTTGGGATAATGAGACGACGAGCAAGAAGAAGAGGCTCTCCGCGCTATTTTCTGGGCTTTTCCTGTGAAGGGAGTCATGCGATTTTGGTGGGAGTCTTGAATTCAAATGAAGCCGACAACCAATGACGAGCCACCGACCGCCAACGAAGATGCCTGGCATGCAAGGCATTTGAATTGCTTTTGTACCGGACCATTTCTGTGATACGGGCGCCCATTTCTTTTCCGGAAGATCATTGTTGCGGCAGCACGGAAGCCCTTAAACCATACAGTACGTCCTTTTGCAATCATTGTTGTGCCACGGACGCCTCCTACAGAATCCTACACCCTACATCCTTTATCCTGTTGCAATCATTGCCATGGTAGACTCCCTCCCTGTGAGAGACCATGATGGCCATGATGCTGAGTTGAATGGTGACATCTCCCTCCGTTGGACCAATGCAGCAGGATCAAGCAATGTTATTGGTTCCATCACTCTGCGCAAGGTTGTTGGGAGAGCAGAATTCTTCATTGAATACTATGGTAAAAGGATCCTTCGTGATGGCAACAATAATATCATCAACACCAGCACCAGGCATTGCGGTAGCATCTCCTTGCTTAACCGTGGCCTTTGGAAAGTTAACAGCTCGAAGAAGCGGAGCCGCAATGACAGAACCAAGCGAGCTTTCAACATCAGCATCAGTTTCCCCAACAGCGTTGCTCCGGACGGATTGACCGAAGTCGCAATGATGGTGCCTTTGCCTCGTGACGATGAGCTCTTCCCGGCTGCTATTGAAACTTGCGAGCGCTTCCGTGCTGCCCTTATCTTTGCCAACGGTGAAGCCCAGCACTTTTCCGGCTAGCTAGCTAGCTAGAACGTATAGTGGTATAGTGGAAAGGCGAATCTCAATAAGAAACATAGGATAATCGTATACTAGATAATGTTTTAAGACTACGATTGATTGGCCGACTAGCTAGCACGTCATAGCAGCAGCTTGTGCGGCACCTCACTCTTCAGCGGCACCGTCACTCTTCAGCATCAACTCATTCTTCGGTGTCACCGTCACTCTCGTTGCCATCGTATCCCCACTCTTTGCTATCGAACGCCTCTTTATGCTGCACCAAATAGCAGCTGTTTGCCGCAAAGAAATGGGACCACTCACCATCCTTCGTCATTACGGGGACACGAATGAACTCTTTGGGTTGGTCGATGCCGTCGTTGGCCGCAGCGATGGCTTTTGCCTTCTTCTCCGTCATGGATACTCCGGCACAAAGGAAGTTCTTGCAGCCCGAGCAATAGAAGGCGGTGTTCTGTTTGCAGAGGCGACAAGGCTTGCGGACATCAACCTTCTTTCCTTTCGTAGCAGCATTCGGATCGGCAATTCGGATCATCAGCACTCGTCCATCACAAGCCCTCTCTCGCTCTTGGTGGAGATCGTTGAGAGCTCGTCCTCTACAGGGGGTGTAGCCAGCCTGCAAACTGTCGGCCCATCCAAGCTTTGCGGACTCCTTATAGCCTCGTCGAAAGCGTTGGGGAGGCGTTTCCGGTGCAACAATGAGAGGACGACTGTTGCCGTTGGAAGCAGTTGCAGCAGCAGCACTAGGTCCTGTCCGTTCCTGCTCCATGCAACGGATGAGCATGTCAATACTTCGCGACATGTCAACTCTGTTGTTGGCAGCGTGTCTAGCGTTGAACACGGTGCTGTGCTTGGAGAGCTTCGTCTTGATCATTTGGTTTGTCCTGTGGAATGCAACACCTCCAATGGTTAGAAGACGAGCCGTTGCGATGTTTCGAGGTGTGCGGATGCCAAGCTTCTCTTCGACATTGTCAATCAGCTTCGTTGTGGTATCAGAAGGACCTTTCATTGCATTCCAATAGGCGTTCTGGAAAGGAATGCATCTTGCTGCCGGTGGGAGCGGGAAAGATATTCCTTGGCTGATTTCAGCATCAACGTTGAGTGCTCTCCAAACCCCATAGTTTATCCAGAATGAGTGCTCATCAAGATGCTCGACCTCCTCGATTGCATGACCAAGAGTAGCACCGAGCCTTTCATTCAGGTCTGTTGTGGAGTATTCGTAGAACGGCTTCAAGTAGGAGAAGTAGAAGTGATTCATTAGCTCCGTATAGGCGTCCAAGAGAGAGTCCTCGAAAGTAACATCGACCCCATACATTAGACGGTTCTCAGAGCCAACAAGAAGCAGTCCTCGTGACGTCCCGGAGACAAAGGCTCCATGCAACAGCTGGAACGATTCATGCTGTTCCCGTCTTGGGTTGTTTTCATCGTGCAGAAGCAGCCTGAAGAGAGGGTCGCTTGATGAGGCGCTGACAAGGTACTTTGAAGTTCGATTATACTCCTCGACGCCAACTACATCCTCAATTCGATCGGAGGCCTCTGTCATCGTTGACTGTGCTACTCTGCTTTTCACCTCGACTGGTAGGAACACTTCATCATCATAGTCGTCTTTCACGAAAGCCACTGCATCCAAACTCGCCTTTGCGAATTTGCTTCCTTTCTTCCGCATCAAACCCACTCGATAGATGGCTGTCGGTTTGAGGGCGGAGAATGAGTAAGCTTGATTGTCCCCTTGCTTCTTGCATTCTTCAAAGAAGGCCTTCAAAAACGGCTCTTCATTGCGATGACCAATAGCAGCGGCACCCCGATCGTTATCATTCTGTGGCCGAAGGAATGATTGCCTCAACAGTCGCTTGAAAGGGGCCATCTCATCCAGCTCACTCGGCTCTAGTGTATCGTTCTTCTTTTGTGGCTTGTGCCTCTGTTCGCTTGAAGGCTTGACCAGTTCATCAATGATTGCCGACTTCTTGCCTTTCACGACAACTCTGTTGTCAGCTGCAATCGTCTTCAATTGAGCAACGGTAAGAGGTTCAAACAGCCGTCTCTTCTTCGGCTTTGACAGCCAGTCTTGAAAGAATTTCTTCGTTGCAGGGAGCCCTGTTTCCTTGAAGCCCGTCTTCTTGAGTACACTGGGAATGAAAAACTCTGCAGAAACGCCCTTTTTGAGTCCGCAGAAACACTTTTTTTCCTGAAGCAGGC